CCAATGGCCCTTTAATAGAGCCCCTATGGTCCCTAATAGTGGGTATTTGGGGTATATTAGAGGGTAGTTGGGGGGTCTAGGTATTGTGACTATACCAAATAAAATAGCCCTGAAGCTTCTTTGAATTATTAAGGACTCTGTGTTACACCCTCCTGGGTATGCTAGGCTTTAGGGTGTAAGTACAGGGTTCAGAGGACCAGGCTTAGCTTTCACGGTTTTTGGGGTTTACTTATCTGCCACATGGGTAGTTCTCTAAATTAGGGTCCGTCTTTAGGTCCCCAATACCGTGCGGCACCCTTATAAAAAGGCCCCTACCAGGGACCCTAATATAGAGAACTACCCACATGTCATATAAATAGTCCATCATAGTCCTTTTCTTTCATGAACCTCATGAACGTTGCTTGGGGCCGTCAACATTGTCAGCAATTTCCAGTCCTAACAGTATTATCCATGGATCGCCTCTGGTTGATTTGCTTGTCTGCTCGTCTGTAGAGGCCGGGCGAGCGCCGGAGTGCAGATGAGATCTCTTTCAGCGCTCTTGCGAAGAGGCCGACGGTGTTTGTGTTGTGTTTCTTCCCTATGTGCAGGCTCCTGGCTGTTTCAAGACATGTACTGCAAGTCGCAAAGCCAACTACTCGAAGCAGCACTGTCTGAAGCGATTGTTCGCATTCGGTGGTTTACAGCCAACTCTGGATGTTCTGTCTGGTGATATTCTGCTACTGTGCACTCTTCCAGGATGTGGGCATGTTGCGAATGTCCCACGAACCAACCCTAAGGGTCCAAGTACCTAATAATCATATACTCTCGTCCCATATGCAGCCCTGAATTCCAGGTGCCCTAGCCTAAGCAAGCTTAAAACAAACTGAAAGCCCCTAAGCCCTTAACCCAAGCTGAAATGACGTCTCTGCGGAGGAAGCAGGAGGAACGGCAAGAGGAACAGAAGAAGAAGCTCGAGGCCGCTATCTTCAACGTCATTCAGGGGTCGGAGAAAGTCGTACTTGTATTCCTCAGGCATCCTCCATCGAATTGTAGTAGAATATACCTCTAGACCCCAGTCTGAGTCTTAAGGTTCCTATATGTTACATGAACTTAGGATGTGATGTAAGATTTAGGCCTTGGCGTGTTGAGCTCCAGCGGCTTGGCTTTCTTTCCATACCCCACATGTCATGGGCTGACCAACCGCCGTTCGAAGGTCCAGACAGGTTGGCCGTCACGATCATTTCTTCTATTCGGGGTGGGCACGGCATCCCAATATACCCAGGGTCGGTGGATGTTGATTGTTGCTTTTCATGGGGTGGCTTTCTGCGCGTGGGGTTTAGGGTTTGGGGTCTGCTTGGAGATTCATGGGTAGTTATAGGTGGGGCTTTACGCCACCTAACGTAGGTTATAACTATAGTTGCCCTACTTATAAACCCTACTTATAACTACCCATGAACCTCCAAGTAGAGGTTCAGTGCCTCGCAGGAGAAAGCCAAAAGAAGAGAGGACCCCCTCGTTTCCGAGAATCTTGTTAAGGGACTAAAGGAGGGACCCTTAAAGCGACCCTTGGGGTTATATTTATAGGGGCCTTATGAGACAAAATAAGGGGCATGTAAGGGTTATATGGGGTATTTGGATTAGGGGTCCCTATAAACCCTAAACCCTAAACCCTAAACCCTAAACCCTCCTATTGTCCCTTAAAAGAAGGCTTGCACTCAGCTCTCGGATTTCCGCTTCGACCGGGACGTAAGTTGCCACTGCTGCGCCCCTCGGTTTAGGGTTTAGGGTTTAGGGTTTCGGATTTAGGGTTTAGGATTTAGGGTTTAGGGTTTAGGTTTTAGGGATATATGGGTAGATCTCTAAATTAGGGTCCCTTTTTGGGTCCTTTTTTTAAGGGTGCCGTACGATGCGTGGGACTTAGAATTTAAAAAGGAACCCGAGAACTACGCATATATTAAGAAAAACCATAAATAACAGTCAGAATAATAGAGCTGACACTAATCTGGGTCCTCAATATAACACATCGTTACCATACAAGATTCTACCCACAAACCCCTATTCCAGGGACTAAGGCCCCCATATTAGCTTCGTTTCCAGAGTTCTCGGTTTAGGGTTTAGGGTTTAGGGTTTAGGGTAGTAGGAGAAGATGTGACATGGGTCCTCATTGTAACTCAACTAAAATGTGCGCCCCAACCCTATTCCAACTCTTGAGGCAGCTGTATCAGCTTCAGTTGCAGAGACCTTAGTAGTAGGAGTCCGATAAGAATGTACCCTAATAAATCCTAACATTGAGATTTCCGTGAGTTCAGATACATGTCTTAGTTAAGGGAACCCTAAACCCTACATCCTAAACCCTAAACCCTAAATCCTAAACCCTAAACCCCGAAACTAGGGGTAGTCGGCTCTCTGAGATAAGGGCCCAGGTTGAAGCTTCGCGCTCTTCTTTGAACGTAACCCCAAGGGTCCAAAGGATCCAGTAATCAGGTACTTAGGGTTTAAGGATTAGGGTTTAGGGTTTAGGGTTTAAGGATGAGGGATTAGGGGTTTGGGATTAGGGTTTAGGTTTAGGGTTTAGTAGCCCCACGGGTCCAAAGGACCAACAAATCAGGTACTTAGGTTTCGGATAGTAGTTATGTAGGTTAGGTTTAGGGTTTAGGGTTTAAGTACTTAGGTTTCGGACAGTAGTTATGTAGGTTACTATTCGGGAGAGTATATGATTATCAGGCATTTGCACCCTTAGGGAGATGCTCTATTCTGTTCTAAACGGCTCTATTCTGCCATGCTCTGCTTGCTTCTCCATGCTACTCTGCTCTGTTCTCCTCTACTCCACCATGAGGCACTTGGACCTTTAAGGGTAAGGGGAGCAATGGGAACATGAGAACCCTACGCCCTCAATGCTAAAACCCTAGGACTAAACCGCGTAGATGGGCAAGGGCCTCGCTGAATTTTCCCTAGAGGTTTTAGGTTGAGGCACGGTTTAGGGTTTAGGGTTTAGGGTTTCGATGAGATTCCGGAGCTTTAGGTTGCTTCTCGGTTAGGCGCTGCTGAAAGTTTGAGATTTTCTGTGTGTCTTCATAGAAAGCCCTTGGAACCTTTTCATCAACAGACTGCGATTTTGCTGTTTCCATTGCACGCCTGAGGCCATTGGCCACGTCAATCCAGTAACGGGCAAGGCGATGATTTGCGACCATGAGACCATAAGACACCTGGTCTTAGTCGTTGAGCGTGTAAACTGCAACCTTCTTTTTCCCCAGTTGCCTTTTCAACACGCGTTTGGCTGAAACCGCATGAGTTGAATTGGGCACTGGACTAAGGAGAATGCCTCCGCATTTGGTTTGGGTCTACCGCCGAGTTTGAGCAGGTCATTCGCGACAGGGTGGCGCCAACTTTCCAGCGGAGTTTTTGGAAGCACCCGTTGCCATACAAATGGATGCTGGGTTCTTGTTAGAGAATTTGGTTAACTTACCAATTTAAAGAGAGCTTAACCCCCTTCTTGTGGTAACGTAAATTACTGTCCGCAACAAAAGCCACAAACCCGTAGAAGACCCTACTTGGAGGATCATGGGACTTAGTAACTAGGGTTATAAATAAGGGAACTATAATTATAACCCCAATTAGGGTACTTATAACCTTACTTACTAAGTCCCATGATCCTCCAAGTATGAGACACAAGCTCTATACACCCTGAAACGCCCAGGATTTTGGGAGCCACCGTCCCAACGCTCTGGATCAGCGTGTGCAATGCCATGCAGGCAGCTCATGATGGGTCAGATTTCCTGGCCTTGCAGACCCCCGGACATGTTTTAATAAGAAGCTGCTTATTTTTGGTGGAGTTTTAGAATGTACTGATATTTTTCGTGAGTGGCCATACTCATGGGTATGGGCTATAGTATGGTTGTAGTCCTGCCATAGTCATGGTTGCAGTTACAGCTGCAGTTACAAAAAGTTGTACTTCTTGTCCTAATCCTAGTCAGAGTCGCATAGGTACGATCATATTATAGTTGTAGTCATAGTCCTAGTTGTATAGGCATAGACGGTATAGTCGTAGTCATACTTGTAGGTCTTGGTTCAGACCGGTACAGTACGGTGGAGTAGAGGAGAACAGGGCAGAGTAGCATGGAGAAGCAAGCAGAGCATGGCAGAATAGAGCCGTTTAGAACAGAATAGAGCATCTCCCTAAGGGTGCAAGTACCTGATAATCATATACTCCCCCCACATAGTAACCTACATGACTACTATCCGAAACCTAAGTACCTGATTATTGGGTCCTTTGGACCATTGGGGTCTTCTTCAAACGGAACAAGGATCGTAGCCTTTGGCCCAGGATATTCTGCAACCTTTCGTTTTGGCTGGCTGGCTTTCCTGTCCTTCTGCACATCGAGCGACTCGAGCAATGGATTCAGCGTCTGGCTTTAGGGTTTCGGGTTTCGGGTTTAGGGTTTCGGGCTTCGGGTTTAGGGTTTCGGGTTTAGGGTTTAGGGTTTGAGTCTTTAGGGCAGCGAGTAGTGAAACCCTAAACCCTAAATCCTTAGTCCTCCAACCCGAAATCTCGATCTTGCCACCCGGAACTCCCGAACGTTCATGCCTCCAGGACCCTCCACAGCGAAACGGTAGATCCTCATAATCTAGGGTTTAAGGGTCTAGGGTTTAGGGTTTAGGGGCCTTGATAACTACCTATACTGTTTGGGGGGTTTCTTGTTGTACTTGTAGTATAAGATACCGCAAGACCCTGTTCTAATGATGAAGGCCCCTATGTGAGATCCTCACGCCGCCAGCTCGGGCCACACAATGTCTCTAACCTCTCGAACTCCAGATCTCGCAGCCCCAAAGTAAAGCCCGGCAAGTTGGAATATGGCCACCTCATGCCGCGAAGGTTTAAGGTTTAGGGTTTAGGGTTCAGGGTTTAGGGTAAGGTCAGTATGGATAGTCGCAGCACATATCATCCTCACTTCACATTCCAGCTTGTTTGAGTTGACCCAAATCCTAAACCCAAAGCTGTCAACCCGCAGCTGGAAACCCTATATAAACTGTAGCCCTAAACCCCAACACCCCTAGACACACCTAAACACCCCTAAACACCCCTAAA